CCTCTATGCTCAGATATTAAATTATCTGAACATAGGGACGAATTCATTTATTATTTCTTAACAGGCTGCACGTGAAACATTAAATATAAATTTTTTTTTTCTGTTTTACGTGCATATATCTTACATTTGTTGTATCAGTGTATTCTCTTTTCTTGAGTTAGTTAATTTCAGTATGCGGCTGTTTTAAAAACACATTTCAAATCTGTTTAATTAGTCAACACCTTACACGCCTTTTCCCTCAAGCCAGGAAAACCTTTAGATGGAGTGGAAACAGCTTAATAGTTTCCTTTGTTTTCCACAAACACACACACAAACACACAGTTGTCAGCTGTAAAGCACCGTGTGATGGATCTGCGTTAAAAGCACTTTAGGAATAAATCTGACTTGACATGACCTCGTGTGACCATTAAACTAATTACACTTGTAAAGCTAAAGAATCCAATACCTCTTTGTCTTTCCCTTATACCAGCCTACTTGTGTTTTCTCGGTGAAGAAGACAGCGTTTTATCTACAGTGTAAATTGATGAATGATGTCTGGTTTTGATTGGTCTGCTGTATTAAGTTATGAATGGAGGAATTACCAAGATCACAGTTTATTATTGTTTCATGCATAATTCTCATGATCAGTGCGTATATATTGTCCAGTTTGCACATGCCTGTATCGTTAACCTCTTGGATCTATCCCTGAATAATGCATGAAGGTTAGTTTCCATAATTGTCACTTTTCACACAGAAGGAAATTATCAGCTTCAGATGTATTTCCACTAGTATGCAATTTAGGCGAGGGAGCTCTCTTTATAGTTTCCATATGAAGCAACAAAGAGCATCTCCTTGCTACCAGTAAATCTACCGGACTATTAACTGCACTATTCTTACACTATTCTTTTGACTGTCAGATTTAAAATTGATTCATATCTGATCCTGCTGCATAAGACAGTTGCATGCCAAATGGTCAGGTAAGGAAAAAAAAAAAGATGTGTCCTATCGCGATGTTTGTCCCTATGCAAAAAGAACCATCAAAAGCTGTTGTTGCTAAGAAAGCTGAGGTGATGTTTTAGTGTCGAACAGTCTGTATTTAATTCTTTTTATTTAATGTTTTTTATATTAATTGAGTTGATTTAATTTTTTTGCAAAGATTTGTTGGCTTGACAACCTCAGCACGACTAACAAAAAACCGGCTGGAATAAACTGTTAAACCATTAGTCATGTGAATGTGCCAGTGTTCATCACATTAGGGCCACTCAGAGAGCTTGCTGGTATTTTTATATTTGACATCATTCGTCCCCACAGTAGTGTTCTCACAGATATTAAGGTAAAACTACTACACACACACACTTTTAAATAAGAACTGGTGGATTTTTAGGGTTTTTACAGCTCATCGCAGCTTTTATAATGATGATATTTAACCTTTGTTTCATAAGCATTGTTGCTTAACAATTTATGGTGTGCTGACTACAATGCAAATACAACCAATAAAGTCTATCCCATAAACCTAACTTGGCCATACATGTAAAATAACTTAAACAAAAGGTACAAATGATATTAAAGGGGAGTTATATCAGAGTTGACGCCAATTAGACACATTTTTCAGCTTCTGAAATATCAACTCTTTGATATCCAAGATTTCAAAGCAACATTAGACAACTTTCACATCTCTGCAGAAACTAAATCACCTGTGATCAAAACTGGAGCTACAACTGTCCAAAAAGAGAAAAAAAGAAGCACAAAGATAATAATTTAATATAGTATGGCAATCAGTCTGGAAAATAATGGCTGCATATACTCCATAAAGCACACCATGGTGACAAAGGGAAGAGAAGCTATCAAGATGAATTTAACTAACAGGATTATGATAGGCTGTTAAAGACAAAAGGGTTGAAAAAAATCCAGTTTTACAGGTGATCTTTGAAGTTTTTGTAAGATAGTTACTTTATTTTAATGATCCTATAGTTTGCATGCATGAGGGATATTTCTGACTTGACATGTTTCAACTGTTCTAATTACATCTGTAAGGCTGAATACCTACTAACAAGTGTTTTCTATACATTCAAAGTAATTCTGTCTTACAGTGTACATTTGTAGAATTGCCACCCCAGGATTGTATGCCTCTGTCAACTGAAAGCAAAGTTTACATCCTACCATTCCTGCGTTTTGGTGTTGAATAATAGCAAGAAAAGTATTTTTTCAGAAGTTCCTGGGAGATCACATTCAGAAGAACAGAAAGGACTTACAGTAAGCTCAGTCTTTAAACTTGAAAATCAACTCAGTTCATCCTTCAGTTGCAAGTTTCTCAATATCCCGCATGCAGGCATGTGGCAACACTTTGTAACTTCCCACATGGAAAAGATATATATAAATCTTATAATGTTTGTATCTGTCTTGTGTGAAACTTGTATGAAAAGCATACAAGGGTGAAAACAGATATAAGATCCCTTGAAAAATTATATAATGAAACTTGTATGTTTTGGATACTTACTAAAACAATATATGAAAGTAATGAGAAAGTGGCCACTTTCATGAGTAAATCATATACGTTTTTACTATTTCTTTTCCATATGGGTTGTAACAAGACCAAGACAAAAAGCACAAGGAACAAGTAGATCCATAGGTTCAAGTTCCATTTTTTTTCTTGCAGTCTGTGGTGTCAATAAAATAATATTTGCAGGACAATGGGATGGATGGATAATTGCCAATGAGGGAAAATGCTACCTGCTGCCATACTGGATGCTAGTGCAAAGGAATAAAAACCTATTAAAACAAATGAATGACTCCCTCCATTGTAATGGCTGTATAGACCCTACATAATAGGCGGACATAAAACAAGAGGTTACTCTGAAGCCTCAGCTTGGCGTTTTCCCCATTGCCATCATTTTGTTTTCATACCAGACATGACAAGCAGGGAGTAGACCTGCCTGAGAATTCGAGAGATTTGCAGCACTTAGAATGCCATAATAGGACCATGACTGACAAAATAAGCATCATGTTAGATTTAATAACACTTGTAAATAGCCACCGAGCCCATAAACCTATTAGGAAAGTGTTTCCTGACGTCAGAATAGAAAAGGTAACAAATAGCTGAGTTCCAGCAAAACTTTACAGGTAAAAGCCACCAGTCTAAACTAGACAAGTTTTACAAACAGAAAGAGCATCTTCTTTTTAATATATTTTAAAAAAAAATCTTCTCTAGTTGTAAAAACAGGTTTGGTTATATAGAAGTGACACTTAGCAAAGATGCAGGTTTAAGCTATTCTTTGTGGTCTTTGACTAAATAAATAGACCATTAATATGCTGAAATCACTGATATCAATAGAATGACATTTGTGTATTTGCCACACCTTAAGTGCCAATGAAAATTGACAATCATGCATTTTAAAGTTCCCTTGTGAATTTTAATTGGGTGTCCCCTTATGTGTGAAATGGATGTATATTTGTTTTAGAAATAGAGGTTTGTGTTTGTGGAATGAAGGCTTTGTGAGCTGACACCTCACATTAGCCTCAGGCTCATAGAGGCAGCCAGTTCAGGAAAAATAGACAGTCAGCTTCTATTTGCTCACTTAACTGGTATCTGAATAAAGGGGACAATCTCATGGGAAAAGCAGAACAGGTCAAGAATGCAGTCTTCAGATATCCAAGACAGACAACAGCATGTGTAGTAAAGTCTGTCTTTTCCTGTCTTTCTCTTTCGTAATGTAGTAGTGCAACCTTGTCTGCCTGTCAGCTGACATCCCTTTGAACTCACTCCAAAAGGGTCTGCTATATCTAACTCATAGCACCATTTTGCCCGCGGTAGAGCTTCAAAGGCTTCAAAGCATAGGAGTGACTTCTGACCTCACCAAGTATGATCCTCTGACGCGTGACAGGCGGGGCGGTGGAAGTGTCGTACTGTAGGGATCGCATCTAAACGCACCGGGTCTGGCAGGTGACGGTGTGGGACAGTTTGTGCGTGATGTGTGACCGGATTGCAAAGTTGAAGCGTGTGTTGTTTGGGAACTCTAATTACCCACAGGAAAATACAACACACTAACAACTGGTCATAGACCCCAAAGACAGATTTTGACATTTCTAAGAAGGTCAACGTTAATTAGAGTGTGTGATTCCATTCACGAAGAGGAATTAGAAGAGTTTGTTTAGACTGTAAAAGCTTCCAAATACGAATACGATGATTATCAGTGTCCTCAAGTTACATGCTGACAGTTGACAGTTACCTTATCAATTAATAAAGGTATTAAAAAAAAAAATGTGGTGATGTGGATAATGGTTTTAGATGTTTTCCCCTCATCAAATTTCAGGATCAAAAATTATGTTTTACATTTACATAATTGCAAATTTAATGTATTTGGTTTACGTAGTGTTTTATAGAACAAAGATTTATTTTAAGATTTTCCCTTATGCTTGTGATTATAGAATAAACAGCAACTGATTTATTCATAAATACATTACAGCTGCACTTATTACTTTCATAACCGATTAATCTACCATTTCTTCTAAGATTAATCAACTATTTATTATGCAAATGTCTCAAAATGATGAAAAATTACTACACCCGAGGTGAAATTTATCTCTTCAGAAAACCGTCACCAAGAGATACTCAATTAATGATCACTTTTTTAAAAAAGTGCAAGTAGAAAAGGCATGTTTGTCACTTCTGGAACTAATAATTAATCAGTTAATTACATTATTCTTGTCAGCACTAATAGAAATTATGATTGGTTTGAACCCTAGTGTATCAAGGCAGACGCAGATGCAATATGAGGAACAAAAATGGCATGATAGTGGATGAAAGGGTAAAAGAACAACTCTCCCTGCTTTCAAGCCAAGAGACAGAGAGTAAAGATAGTATCACCATTACTCCTCTTCCTTCATCGCAGCATCACAGGATATAAACTATTAAGAGCTGACAGGATAAATTATTAAGGGCTCCATTTGCATGGCTCCATTTTCCCCCTGAATAAAAAAAAAAGAAGAAAAAAGCAGACACTGACATCATGACTTATACATACAAGTTTTGCGCGCAGAGTCCTCAACAAAGAGCGAAGAGATGTCCTCGTCCACGCCGGCCTCATTTTTGGCGATGCAGGTATAGGCGCCGGTGTCCTCAAAGTGTACGTTGCTGATGTGAACCTCGCTTCCATTAGCTGCGAGGGACAACAGAACAGGAGGGAAAGACAAAAATAAAAAGACAATTTTCCTTCAGGAAAGAGATAAAAGGTGACTTCAATGTTACCATCCTCTGCTACCATTATATAACAGTTATGTGTTTGGAAGAAGGGTGAAAGCTTTGTTTCGGGGAGATTTCAAAAAGGTGGGAGTTCAAAGTTAGAATGTGGCACATGCTGTGTTTCTGTGAGATCTGGGACAGTTTTCCGCTCTGTAGTTTTTGAAAGCAACTTGAGGGGAAAAGCAATCTTCACTATTTATTCTGAGAATCAAGTGACACTTGATAGCTTTACTTCTGAGCGTTCGATATAGAATTTGGACAAAAGACTTTGACGTTGTGCATCTTTTGGTGACATCAATCTAACAATGCCTCCGGTTCAAACAAACAGCTTTACAGTAAAATTAGTCACAAGAACCAACCAAGCAGCCACTGAACTAACAGGACAAATGTGTGAGAATATCAGAAAAACATGTGATCATCTATGTCACCCAGTCCTCTTTGATACATGAAGTGATGGCAACCATGGTCAGATATTAGCATAAAAAGTGTGAGAGTGGTGGTAAAAACAATTACAGAAAAAGTAAATACACAGGTGCACTTGCAGTAAACTCATTACTCCTGTTTACCTTGCAGAGTGAGCTGTTTGGACAGCTTGGTTGTGATGTCCATGCCATTCTTGAGCCAGGACAGCTGGGGGCTGGGGATGCCCTCTGCATGGCAGCGGAGGCTGGCAGTGACACCCGGCTCCCTGGCTTGGCTCTCTGGATAAACTCGGATGACAGGAGGAACTGAAAGATGGTGTAAGAGAAAAGAGACAGACAGCATACAGAAATGAATTAATGCTTCTGCATCCCTTACTGCTGTTTACATTAGAATCAGTTGAGGAGCTGAATAACCTTATTGAACAAGACGTTTTCAAGAAAACAACAAGTTCTGAACTTATGGCTCAGAATTAGCATAAACTATCAATAGGATTGAGTGCATTTGCAGCATTACCGAATGCCTTTAGATAAGGTTAATGTGCTCCACAAAGCCAAACAAATCAGATAGATAAATAAGGGAGGGAACCTCTGTTCACTTGGTAGCTATTGATTTTCTGTAACCTCCTGTCAGGAAGGAGATGAGGGGATAAAAGAAGAGAAAACAAAATGTGTACAGAAATAAAAATAAATAAATAAAAAAAGGTAAAAGCTAAATGTCGCTCTCTTCTGCAAACTGTTCCAAAAGCTGACTTGGCACATTTCTGCACACGGTGCTACTGTCATGCTGCCGTTTCACTTGTTTACCCTACCCTGAAGCAAAGACAAACAAAAATATCTCTCCGACATATTGTACTTCCAAGAACCATAAATTAACATAAATCTATAAAACACACAAATACATTAATAATATGCATTTATGCATTGGCTGAGAATTATGCCACAAATTTTGCTCTACACCCGGGGGCCAACTTGTTAGAGCCCTGCTCCACAAAACATGGAAAATATCAGAAGAATGAATTTGAATAATCCTTTATAGACGGAAGACTTCTCTGAATAGCATAACAATGATAAAACCTTTCAGAGGCATAGCAGTATGTCTGAGGAGACTCTTTCACTGGAATGGTGACTCAAACTTGGACAGTGACAATGAACTGTTTACAGAGCATCCATAAAAATACAGCATGATTCATTCCACAACAGCCTGTCACATATAAGGATGACAACCTGGCAGCAGTTAAAGTAGAGACATCAAATCTCTCCATCTTGCCATCTTGTTTTGAGCGATCCTTTTTGAGCCTCTGTGGCCCAAATCAGCACCTCCTTTTTCCCCTCTCTTTTCTGAAACAGACTTCAGAGATGTGAGCGGAGGATGGAAGCAAGACTCTTGGCAGAAGCAGAGAAGGCAGACGTGCTGTAGAGACCATTTCCTGTGGGCACTGGGTTAGAGGAAGTCTTTACTCAGCCAGGTGAGTGAAAGGACTGAAGATTACTGCCATGGCCATCTGGTAACCACAGCACTCCCGGGCTTTGGAGCTCCCGTCAACCCAACTGCCAACACACTGTCCACAGTGGGCCACAAAGGTTCTTATGGCACTCAGGTTACCTTACCAATCACAGCCACACAGACGCATCACTTATGCCAATGCCTCTTAGCAGTTACAATGATGATTGCATAGAACTCTGGGAGACAATTATTTTGTACAATCATTTGAATAAAGTTTATTACTCAGGCTTAATATCCTCACAGATGCGCACACAATCCCCCAAAAGATCTGTTTCTTTCTTTTGTGTGTGTGTGTGTGTGTGTGTGTGAGAGAGAAAGAGTTGGGGTGGGGTGAAGAGCATAAGTTTTACAATCCTCCTTGCTTATCTGTTTTTGTGCCATATGCTTACTGTAAATCACTCTGTGAGTGCCTTGTTTGGTGAAACAACTTTTTTACTCAGTAAATACAAGCTGTTTAAAAAGGAAGCTCAAATCTACACCTGTGTCCTTATATCAATCATCCTGAATACATCAACCATAAAAATCATTTTTTAAATATCACATTTTATGTGACTTTTATGTCAATTAGCACGTTACGATTGGAGTCTCACTACTACACCTCTAAAAAGCATAACAATCATATGTGATTCATATTTGGTCAGTGCTCTGGTTTATCTGACCGACGTAGGACAGTTTTCCAATTTCATTGTACTACTATACTATGTATGACTATGCAATGACAATAAAGAGTTATCTTATCTTATCTTATCGTATCTCTTTTTGCAGCCATAAACTGTTCCTATAACTCCTGCTACATTCCAATTGCACCCTGAAAGTCCTGTTCTGACCATGTGCAGTTTTACCATGAACCTCAAAACTTGAACAAAGCACAAACATCAGATTTTGTATGAAACTGACCCCATTTTTAAAATCGTCCGTGGAGACGAGTCAGCTGCAGAAAGCGTGACCATGAACATGGCTGTTATTTGTTTTCAATGTTCACAGGGCTGTTCAACGTAACTATGTACCCCACAATCAAACAGTCAATGGCAAGCTCTACGGTAATGTCCAGAAGTGCAGGAAAACAAGCTTAACTGTGACACAAACCATCATCTCAATGTGGAGCTACACCTGCAACATGTGCATGTGATGCACCTGGCAAGGAGCAAGAACGAGATATCCAACAAGCAATCCAAACAGCAGAGAGTTTGTTTATATATATATATATATATATATATATATATATTAGGGGTGCAACGATAATATATATTAGGGGTGCAACGATACTCGTATCGATATTGAACCTTTCGATACAGTGCTTTCGGTTCAGTACGCATATGTATCGAACAATACAAAATTTTTAATTTATTTTATCAACTTTTCTTCTGACGATGCTGTCTGTGTTGAGAGTTCAGTGGATCTGCGTTTGACTACTCCGCCTAGGCTGCACTGTCGAGCGCAGATCCACTGAGCGCAGTGCAAGCTAGCAAGACAGAAGCTAAGCTCGTTGCAACATGACAAATTGAACCTCCCCCACCCTCATTCAGATCTAGCCTTTGGAACTATTTTGGTCTTCATGTGAAGTATGACCCTGAAGGTAAGCGCGTCATGGACAAAAGTAAAACAGTATGTCGGATGCATTGCTCAATTACATGGTGGGAACTAGTGTGTTAGCGCAGTTTGCTCGTTAACGTGTTAACGTCGTCCAGCCCCACGCACGGGGCGATCCGCGGTAGCTCGTTAACAGAGATTTGCCGTGTTGTGGTGTTAACGTCATTTCAGGTTAACGCTGACAGCACTAGTGGGAACACAACGAATATGACTGCACATTTACTCTGACATCATCCTAGTGCAAAGACAAGCAGACAAAAACAACAAACACACATGCTACAAACTTTACCCGAGTCATTTAGACCAGCGGCCCCCAACCCCCGATGTTTAATATGCTGCTGAGAATATAGCCCAGAAGAAGCGTATAGCATAGCTTTTATTTTGGAAAGAGACATTTCTCTGTAATAAACTCTCTTTTCCAAAGATGAGTGATTTCTCGATCAGATAGATTTATTATTTTATCCCTTTGTTGTTTCAGCAACATTAAATTAAAAAACTGTACGTTTGTGTTAAAATGTATATTTATAATCCCATCTAGCATCAATGTAGAATTTAAGAGTCCAGCTTTGTAATACTTTGTAAAGTGTGTACAAACACACCTGCAGTGAGATTATAATTGACATTTTGAAATACCAAGTCATGTCTGGCATCATATTAGGTTTCAGAAGCTTGCAACCTTTATCTTTCTGAGTTATAATACTTCAGGTGGCATTTATTAAAATTCTTTTGATAAATTAATAAATAATTTTAAAATAATCATATGAAGGGGGAATGCAATACATCAAGCACACGAGAAGGATCTAATTAACCAGGTTTCTTTATGTACAGTGCTAATGTCATTGTCATATCATTGTCATTGTGAGTGTAAATTTAATCACTGTGAAGTATGAAATGATGATTTGAATAAATAGAATGGATTTTAGTATTGGAAAATGTAAATGAAGCCACTGTATTTCCTCACAGTGCTCTTGCTGTGTTTCTGACTGTTAACCTGAATTCATTGTAGTTAAATTATAAGATGTTAAATTTCTTTATAGATTTTTCTACTGGTGCATATTAGACTGAGTGGCGGGATGTATTTTTTGTGTGGAGGTGTTAAAGAAAGAGGGTCGTGACAAAAATGGCATGTTCCTGGCCCACAACAACAACCCATTAATCAACAGCTGTATAGCGCAAGCATGGATCAGCCAGGTTCCCCTGAGTATCCCATCATTAAAAACCTCTCAGGCAGTCTGACAAAGCTGTGTTAATTAGTGTGTTGGAATTAAAAGAAGAAAAAACGGATCATCAAGGCTTTTAAAAACCTAAGAAAATAACAGCTAACAGGGCTGTGGAAGGGGGCAGGTATGGATGTCTGAGGCAGGAGTTGCTCTGTGACATCCCGAGGTCACAGAAAGATGGACGACTAGATAGAAAAGCAGCTTACTATGACACAGAGTGCTTTTTATAAGTGGAGGACTTGTCACCTACAGAATCCCAAGTAGACATTAAGACTAGGCCATGGTGGTCTGGAGCCATGTCAGTTAAAGCCTTTGCCTCCAGCATTGGTAGGTTCTCGAGGAAAAAGCAATGATAGATAGATACCATTCTCATCCTCCCATCTGCAACTACCGCAGAGAAATGCAAGGGTCTAAAATGAAAGGATAAAGTGTGTTGAGACCTCTGGAGCCATGAAAGGCACAAGTCCTAACCCTGGCAACAAAAATGAAAAGTAAGAGAGGGGTGAAGAATAAAATGTGTAAATGCCTGTGAATCACAAGGTCTACCAGCATAAATTTGAAAACGACTGAGGTTTCACAGACTCCCACTCATGCCAGGATTGGGGAAGTGGATCCCACACCTCTGATTTGAAGGCATTAACGCTCAATTTTTTTTACTCATAGTGCAATAATATCACTTAGTTTCAAGCGTAAGCTCTTTAAAGTACATCACAGAAGTACAAATGCAAATGTATTCTAAATGCTGCTTGCTTGATGATGCTCTCTACTGGCCCAGACCCAACAGGATGTTTCTTGTTAATTACATTTGCAAAAATTGGGGACTTGAAGAAAATTACATTAGGCACTCAGTGGTATTTTACTGATAGCTGAAAGTAGTGCTAAAGACTGTGAAGGAAAAAGGAAAAAAATACAGTAATGTAGCTCCATCAGCTGCTTCACAAAGGTTTAGTGATGGTTTAATAAACAAATCCACACGTTAATACTGTAATTTA